AGAAGATAGTTAAAGTTCATGGTGAAGCCATTATGAAAAAGATTCAAGCTGGGTGAGGTAATTGATCCCAGTTCCTGTACACTGAGGCAGGCAGATCTCTGCACACTAGCCAGGACTACAAGGTGAAGACCCTGCCTTAATAAAACACACTCAAGTAGGAATATGCAGGGCCATACAGCCAGGGTAACAGTCCACATTTGAAGGGCTTAGCTTTTGTGCTCACAGTGTGCCAGTAATATCAACAATCATGTGACATACATTTTTGATTAATCACATTAAGTGATATCCATCAACACACCATTTTAAGTGCAGAAGCAAGTTCAGGGGGTCTTGCAAATGCTCCTTGTAGCTCAGCCTTCCTAACCCCGCAGAATGAATGGTCATTCAAAAGGCAAATGTTGGCAGTATCTGTTCAAGAACTTCACAGAGAGAGGTGTTCAAAGTGGACTTGAGGTCTTACAGGAGAACAGGAGAATGATTAGTCGTGTCCAGAAAGGGTGGAATTTCCCTGGTATTTGCTTTCGAGCAGCTTCAAGACCACTAGCGTTCTTGCCCGGGGAAGGTGTGCAGGGCGGGCAAAGCAAGCATCAGCATGCTTAGCTGGAGCTGGGTGATTGACAGTACTGATACCCCCAGTCCCTAGATCACATTATCAGAGGGGCCAGCAGGGCTTAGGTTCTGCAGAGACAGTGATAGGGTAAGGCATTGACTCACTCGTCTGCCCTCAGACATTGAGATTCTCTTTTCTAACTGCCCAGATCGTTCTGATATGCAACTGGTGAAAGCAATTGGTGGATTTGAATATGTGGGTGCTCTGATTGCAAAGAAAAAAATATCAAATGTTGGCTTCCTGTCTTATACATTTTAACAGTTTTTGAGTTTCTTTTCCACACAATAGCTCCTGCATTAACTTTCTGTATAGGACCTCCTATTAGCAATGCCAGTGGCGTATGAGTTAGCTCTCCCGGAAGTCTTGAAATCACACCTTTCATGTATGGACGCTAGAACAACACTGAGTACTAGACCAACATCCAGCTTCCCCAGGCATTTCTTAGACCTCCCAGAATCTCATGGTCCACACGGCTTCTTCAAGATCTATGTCATCATTTAAGTTTAATTTAATTAAGCTGAAAGGAAGCACAGAGTTTAACTCAGTTAGTTGCAGTAACCACACTCCATGGGATCCGTAGTGACACATGGCTGGCCACAAGAGCGTGCAGGAACACTGCTGTGGGGGCATCACTGCTGTGGGGGGCATCACTGCTGTGGGGGGCATCACTGCAGTGAGTGCTCGTGGGTAGCCTGTGCTAGATCACTTCATGATGCTCCCATCGCGTCACCCTTCTCATCATCCCACACGTGTCCCATATTCTTCACTCCTGAATGCCTCCAATCACAACCTAATACAAAGACCTTCCATATATCTGATACTGCAATAAAGGACAAAGGGTATTGAAGAAGCTGGTAAGCTCAGAGCTGAGAGCAAGCGTTGGGATCTCATGTCCAGGGGAGAGGCAGCTGCCACAGGAGGCCACGGCCCTTCCTCAGAATTCCCTGTGTTTATTTCTCTAGGCATCTTCCCCATTATCAAATATTTATCTTACCTAAGGCGCCAAATATGCTGCAGCAAGTAAATACAGCAGAGGAGCTGCCTATGTTTTTACTATTGATTTCTATGCTCTGTGTGCTGTGATCTTCTGATTGGTTTTCCTTGAGGTGGAGGAACACGGATGCAAACATTGCTGAGGATTAAATTGAAGCCTTCCTCAGAGCTTCCTCAGCTGGCTGTGAAAGCTGAAGGGAAGGTACACATACTAACGAGATGACGATTTGTGGGATGCCTCATTTTCCATGCAAGGAATCTTCAGTGTGGTCATGGCTTGACAGGATAGTACTCACCTCTGAATTAACTGAAATGTTGCTACTTGTATTTAAGGAAGACAAAGTCAGACTTTGTTTTGGTGTTCATGTATATTTGTGAAGGAACTATCACAATCAAATAGTGTGTGTGTGTGTGTGTGTGTATGTATGTAAAACTAGGACCCACTCTCTTGGAAAATCTCATGTATGCATTCCTTTAACAAGTTACTGGGCTGTTCATTAGGTCTCTAGAACTTTTTCATCTTATACCTGCAATTTGGATCACACGACCAGACAGTCGTGTTTCTACCAGGCTCTGATCTCTGGAATCCACAACCCACCCCAGCTCCCATGAGTTCAAATACTTCAGATCCACATATGAGTGACAGCATGTCGGATCTTTCCTCCTGTGTGTGGCTTGTTTCACTTAGCACAATGTCCTGCAGCTGCATACGTGCTTCAAAGGGCAGACTTCAAGTTCTATTCCTGAAGCACAGGGATGGTATAAAATAGGTCGGCAGCTAGTGTGCTGGGCAGCTTGTGGAGAAAGAATGAGGTTAGGCTGGAGGCAGGAGGGAGCTGGCAGCAGAACTGTGGCCCATGGCAGGAAGGATGGGACCTTCTTTAGAGTCCATATGAAGAATCCCTTCCATGACCATAATGGTAACATTTAGTGACAGAGTGGAGGGTGGGCTTTCTAGTTCAAGATGAGGGGATGGAGCTATCCTTATGCAAACAGGGGAAGGAACATTGATGGTTGGGAATTTGCTGTATGGTGGTGATGTTTTATAGAGATGCTCACTGACAGGCGTGGGAAGAGAAGCAAGCTCTAAGGTCGAGGACCGCACAGGAGCAAGGTGAGATTTTAGGGACAGACTCCGACAGTGTTCTTCTGTTTCCTTGCCCACTGCGCTGTCAGGACACCCTACTCCACACACAGAGGACTCGTGGGGCAGATGCCAACCGCACAGAACTGAAAATGAAGACATTTTACGCCTATGTTCAATCTTGCCTGGAACGAAACAGAAAAGGGCACGAGCAGTCTGTTTCAAAGATGAGGACGCGCAGGATAGCGGTTAGAGTGATGTAACTTAATTATTTTGTTCTTTCTAGGCAGAGTGTAGAACCCTTCAGGGACGGGCAAGGTGTTTGGAAACTCACTTTCTTTCCCCAGTGACTTACTTGGTAAATGCTCTATTGTTGAACTGAGGCTTAAGACGACCCTTAGGGATACAGTAGCATATGCCGCCGCTACCCTGGAGTTGGCCTGTTTTCAGAAAGTCACATTGGTTCAATTCCCAACTGTGTTAGCATCCTTCAAAGGGCTAATTAAGACACCTGGCTAAGGTGGGAATTGCTGTCTGGAAATTAAACAGACTCAGTTGGCCCAATGGGGGCCTTGCCGGGATTAGTTATATCTTAACCAGAATTGTTGATTCCCAGCGGCTGTTTTGGTTGGGACAGATTTACAGGGGCTTCACGAGGAGATGAGCGATTCTTCAGTGCCACACTTGCTTTTATCAATCACAAATGCATTTAAAAGGAGATTTTAATTTTAAGTATTTTAATTTGGAATATGATCCAACTTTTAGCAAAAAAAGAAACTCTATTGCAGCCTTTTAGACTATATAATAATTAAAATATTTTACTGCTCATAAACAATATATGCACATAAAGAAAAGATGTGAGGTTCCCAGAGCCCAAGTCCCCAGGAGAATTTTCCAACTTGAGACTACACATGCTCGTGTAAGGTTTACGGACTCTGGTATTGTCTGGCACTCAGTAACAGGTATTTTCATGCTGTGTTGATGTCTTAGTTGCTCTTCTATTGCTGTGACAAAGCGTCGTGACCAAGGCAACTTATAGGAGAATGTTTAACTGAGCTCACGGCTCCAGAAGGCTAGAGTCCACGATGGCAGAATGAGGGAGTGGCGAGAGGAACAGCTAAGAGCACCCATCTTGTCACCAGCCACTTGTTGGATCTCTGTGGATACCTTTTGTCCCTTTTCTGAGTTCAAATTTAAATGTCTACTCTGACAATCACATTACTTAGAGTGAGTTTATTTAGGTCGGTCCGGTGTTATTTATGCCAATTAAACTGATGAATTAAACTTCTTATATCTTGCAGCTTTAGTTTAAACAAATGCAAAGCAGATTCAAATGAATAGTCTCCCAAAGAACGTACTTGAACTTTCAGTTTGCATCACGCATACAAAGCATCAATAAATGCACTCATCCGTGCAGCTGATAGTTAGTTGTAGATGATAAATACTGTGTCTCGGGTTTTGTTCCGGAAGTTGGAAGCACAGCACGAAACAAAGCTTGTTTGTGGTCCATGTCTGTGCATTGTCAGATGTGAAGTGTACTTGTGCTGTGGGTGTGGTGTGTGTACCTACAATCCCAGTGCCTTGACAAAGGAGTCTATCAAGACCCCCTTATGAAAGGAAGGAGCTATTTTCAGTTTACACTGTGAGCGCATTGAGTCACGGTAGGGAAGTCACAGCGTCAAAAGTCAAAAGTCATGGTTGGGGAGTGTAGAACCTGTAGAGTCATGAGTGCTGGTCCCCAGCTAGCTTCTTTCTTGACAGTTTCCGGGCTCCAATCCAGGGAGTGGCCCCGCCCACATCTAGGGTAGATCTTCTCACCTCAGCCTAACCAACACAACGTCTTGCAGACACGCCCAGAGCTTGTCACCTAGGCGATACTAGATCAGGTTGAGATTAATTTACCATCACAATATTTTATCTCCAAACAATAATTCCAGTAATGAATTAGGAACTACAGATTATTTCTACACGCAGAGGCCATGGAAGACATTCTGTCTGCTCTGGAGCTGAGTTGAGGAACTCATTTTACTTAATCCCTGTTAGTCTGAATAAGAGGGGGTGCACCTAGGTTTTCACACGGGCTCTCTTGGAAGTCCGAGTCAACAGCAGGGGCAGCATTAGCTTATCTCACGCCATGGGAAAATGCCTGCAGCTTTGACTCATGGGAAGAGGTCTGGGTTATAGAAATTGACAAGAAATTCCTGCCTCGGGTACTTTAATTGCTTGTTTTATAGTTGATGTCTTTATGAATGTAAGGTGGTTCATTGTTTGTAAAATTCTTCACTGCCTTTTCCTGTGCTCCCCCTTTCCCAGGTCTTAGGGAAGAAGCCTGAACTCCCAGATGGGGACAACGATGACGACGCCGTGGCAGATTTAAGTAACAGGAAGATGGCGAAGCTCTATATGGTGAGTGCACAGGTGTGGAATTTTGAGCTTGGCTTCGGAGAGACGGTCCCTACTGTATGTAGTAGAGAGTGCATCTTGCCCTCATAGGGAAGCGTGGAGTGATTTTCTACATGCGTGTACTAAAATGTTCACTTCTGTACCTTCTTACTCTGTTCATTAATGATAAGAGTTCCTGCTGTAACTTACACAGTAGGGTATAGGTACCTCCTTGTTTGTTAGATTTTGATATAGTATAGCTGTTAAAATGTCTCCTTTGAAGAATAAAACATTTTGTAAGCTTTTTCTTATAAACGCTCCATGGGATTGTAAAACCTTCATCTTCAGACTATCCTTTCGGTACGAGGAGTGCTCTCTTTGTCCCAGTCAGTCAGCTGGAAGGAGCCAGGGTGGAGCCTGTCCTGAACCAGGCCCTGACTGACCTAGTGACTGTGTGGGACATAGTCATCTGAGTTTTCTAATCTGAAGGGGGTGAAGGGAGGGGGAGGGAGGAGATCAGAAGGGAGGAGGAGGAAAGAAGTGGTCCTATTTGTTGATTGCTCAGGTTTCTTCCAACAACAGAATTTTGAATCCAACCTTGGTAAAAAGCCACAAAACTCAGCAGGGAAGGGGACTGTGAGGATGAGAATTTTCTGTGCCCTTCCCCCTCTTAGAATTTCCTAAAAGTAAGTAGTTTGGAGTAGGTGGCAACCTCCCTGCACAATTTAGGGATTTTTCTCCTCTTCAACAAGAAGAAAAACTACATTTGGCAGTCTCTAAGGAACTTTCTTTCTTTCTTCCTTCCTTCCTTTCTTCCTTTTTGAGACTGGGTCTCTCTGTACAATCCTGGATCTCACTCTGTAGACCAAGGTGGTCTTGAACTCACAGAGAGTCACCTGCCTTAGCCTCTGCAGTGCTAGAATTAAAGGTGTGTGCCACCACACCTAACACCTTTAAGGAACTTTCTAGCTTACTAACGTCAAAGTTCTGAATGAAGATAAATTACTAATTTATGAAGCAGAACTTCCTTTTTATAATGGGAAAGTGGCTTCTTTCCTTCCTTGGTGAGCAAGGAAAATATGATTTGATAATCATATCTGCTAAACACTGATAATTTTAACACGGTCCGTACAGACATTGTTGACTACATAGTTTGTGGCTCATTACTCTTTTTACAAACAAATGTCATTTATTCCCCACTGTTGATCAAAACTCTTTTCCTATCTTGAATAGTGTTATGTATGAATGAATTTCAACGTAAGAAAGTATTAATCTTGAGCTATGGCTCCCTCTAGTGGGGCTATTGTGTAGTGGACAATGTAAGCTGTGTCGTCTTGGAAAACATTTGGGAATACCTAAGACTGGGAAGCCAATCACTGCGGGTACTTTCTAAATACACAGAATGCAAACTCCCCTTGCAGCTGCAAAACTTGGTTACTGATTGAATCTCGGTCCGGAGCCTTCACATCCGACAAACATGCAACTGATCATCCTGCAGCCCGCAACTGACTGTAAAACCCGGTGCGCGGCAGTGGTTCATAAAGAAATGCCACCTTCAACTTTGTACAACCACCTCCAAAGCCTCCGTAAAAGCTGTATCTCTGCCTGTGACAGCAAGCAATTTGCCTTGATGGTTCTCTCAAAGCGTAGTTGAATTTCAGGACTGAGATGGAAAAATCTACTCGTGTTCCTCGGTGCGGCGACTGCCGCCTGCTAGGGACCCAGTGACAGAAGCCTAAGCGAGTTTATGCTCAGCTTTGTGTGGGCCGCAATGAGTGTAGCATCATCACCTCTTGGAAAGTTTGTTCCAAAATTTAAAATAAATGATCATGGAAAAAAGGGCTCAGGGAACTTAGTATACACTAGCATTGTGAGAGCCCTCACACAGTATGATTATCAACAAGGTTTTCGATGTTTTAGACAGTGTTAAAGTTTAACTTTCTGTTAGTAGTTCTTCTGCCTCTAAGAATTTTTTTACAAAAGTGTTTGGGATACAGCTGGGCACAGGGATGCTCTGTCTCTTTGTCTTGAGAATATATATATGTATATAATATATATATATATATCATAAGGCTCATGTTCTCAAAATGCGCAGTCCATGCTCACTGCACCCACAGAGTGGGTAGCTATCACCACAGCAGATTTAGAACGTCTGTTTCCTCCCAAAAAGAGATCATTTGGTTTTTCTGGTAGGTTTCCGACGCGAGTGGATCCATGAAAGTGACCCTGGTGGCTGAAGAAAATCCCTTCTCCATGGCAATGCTGCTTTCCGAAGAATGCTTCATCTTAGACCACGGTACCGCCAAACAAATTTTTGTGTGGAAAGGTAAGAGATACCCTGCTCTGCTTGCTGTATTTTGTGCTCACACGGACGCTCTTCTTCCGGGGGGGGGGGGGTGGTGGAAATATCCTGAGTTTAAAGAACAGGCTCCCTCTGGAGATAGAGTTTGTAAATATCTCACCAAAGATGCAGCCAGGGTCAAACTTTCGGAACTATTCACCAAAGGTTAGGGAGCTAAGGAAAGCATTCAAGTAACAGAAGTTGAGTACACCATCAATTACTGTGATATTAAATGTATTTAATGCACCAGGGAATGTCACCATTCTCCCATTGCTATATATATAAATTAAATGATAACTACGTGTATTTTTGGTATGTAAGTATTTCTTAATCATGTAGTGTATTCCCATCTGAGGAGAAACAAGCCTGGCCCTGCTTGGATTCTGAGGTCAGATGAGATTGGGCGTGTTCGGGGTGGTATGGCCATGTACAGGGTAGTGTAGTCCCCATCTGTAATTATATCTCTCTCTTTCTTTCTTTCTTTCTTTCTTTCTTTCTTTCTTTCTTTCTTTATTTATTTATTTATTTTTATGTTAGGTAAAAATGCTAACCCGCAGGAGAGGAAGACTGCAATGAAGACAGCCGAGGAGTTTCTACAGAAAATGAATTATTCTACCAATACTCAAGTATGTGTGGGAAGAAATCACCAGAAAACCCTTTAAAACTTGAGAGGCATGTAGTTGCCACAAAGCTCGTGGAAAGTTTGTTTCAAAGTAGTGTGTGTGCATAAGTGTGCATGCGTGTGTGCCCGTGTGTGCATGTGAGTATGTGCATGTATGTCTGCGTGTGCGTGCGTGTGTGCGTGTCTGTGTGTGCGTGTCTGTGTGTGTGCGTGCGTGTGTGTGTGTGTCTGTGTGTGTATGTCTGTAGTCCTTCTCCACTTGAGCATGTGTTGCCTTGTGTCATGTCCCCAGTGGTCCTTTTGTGAGGAGTATTATGCAGACAGTGGTGATCAGATGGTAGGGCTACCCAGAGCAGGAGATGTGGTTGGGAGAGCGCATGCCCAGCGTGTGACAGCCTGGACTCCAGTTCCATTGCTGCCTGACACTGGCTGTGTGGTGGCGCACACCTGTCATCCCAGCCCTCCGGAGGTGCGGGCATGGAGATCACTTTCAAGACCATTCTCAGCAACAGAGAGAGTTTGAGACCAACTTGAGTTGCATGAAACTCTGTCTCAAGAAAAAATAATAACAATAACTTCCATAAAGACCATTAGCCGTTCCTTAGACCATTGTGAGGACTTGGGTCACACCTCATCAGGTTTGGTTTCCTCCAGATCAGCTCAGATGTCCACTAGCTAGCTACTCCCTTTCTCCATATTTACCCTGGTACAAATCATACAGTGAGATCATTTCTTCCTGGCCAACTCTTTGAGAACCTAACGTGAACAAACATTTGTGCGGTGGAACACGGGTAACCTTCCTCTCGTCTGTCACTCAGGTTCAGCGGCTGGTCGTGAGAAAACCCTAGGTTGGGTGACTATAGTTGCACAGACTTACAGGGTTACGAGTGTAGTCATAGAAACAAGGACGGTATTTTCATTGCTTCCTTCTTTCTCCTGCCGTAGATATTTTTCTCTGTCTCTTATTTTTTCTTGACTATTATTTTGAATTGCAGATTCAGGTTCTTCCCGAGGGCGGAGAAACGCCAATTTTCAAACAGTTCTTTAAGGACTGGAAAGATAGGGACCAGAGCGATGGCTTTGGGAAGGTCTACGTCACAGAGAGAGTGGCTCACGTACAGCAAATTCCATTCGATGCATCCAAACTGCACAGTTCCCCGCAGATGGCAGCCCAGCACAACATGGTGGACGACGGCTCTGGCACGGTGGAGGTATTTTCGCGTCTGTCTGTCTCTTTCTGTTTGTGTTTTTATCAGGCCGGTGGAGGTATTTTCACGTCTGTCTGTCTCTTTCTGTTTGTGTGTGTGTGTGTGTTTTTTTTTTTTAGGCCTCTTTATGGCAGTGTCTGGGAGGGAGAACATAGCTTTGGCAATCTTTGAACATTTTGTAAAGGGTGAATTTTACTTAGTAAGGCAGGTGGTCCAAGACTACACGGAGCGGTGGGAGCCACAGCCAGAGAACTATTGCTGGATGCCAGTTGCGTTTGCGCAGGTGTACACTGACGTTAAGGTGGTGGTGGGGGCGACAGCTTTTTCTACCAGAAAGTCCATGTCTGGGGTTGTACAAGGTTGGACTCAGAATGCACCAGCCGTTTTTTCTCCCTCTACCTGTTGGAAGCATTCATGAAACAAAATGAGCTACAAGCAGATCTCTTCTGAGCACTCGACTTGATTGTATTGATCAACATTTTAGTTGCTAAAATTCTCAGCTGTTTTAAGATCAAATCTCTTCAAACTCAGTCCACTCTCCAGGGATCCAACTCAATGATCACTGGATGATACATCTCTCCTCTAAAATATCTTCATGGCCCCCTGGCTTTACTGAAGGCCTTTCTCCTTTCTGGGACCGTCAGGATTTGAGCCTTGGCCTCCTCATGCTAGTCTTGGTCATCCTCATCTGAAGCATCCCACTCCTCCATGAACTACTGTTTCCTAGCAACTCCATCCAACAACAGCTCCGCCTCCAAGGCCTTTCTCGGTGCTTGGAGAAGATACTTTCCACAGAATTTGTCTCATAAGTGCCATGGAACTGCTATTTCCTAACAGATTTCTCCTGGCCCCTTCTCAGCTTCTTGAGGACATGAGTTAGCGCCTTCATATCTGCATGCCCAGGTCTCATCACAATGCTTGAACGAGATATGCTGATAAATTTAGGGATTAAGTTTTCGTCCTTTCAGAGAACTGAAGTATGACACTAAGCTGCACAGGTGTTGGGAGTGGGAAATGAAAAGATCATAGATGTTCTGATGCCACCACCAAAGGAAATCAACTTCCTGGTTGCAACCTCTCCTGCCTGGGTGTCCTCTCTGGAGTTTGGCACAGGCAGCTTGGCTAGAATGCCCTTGAATGGACGAAGCTCCCAGCACCCACTGCGCCTACAGAGAAGTCTCAGCTCTGCCACAGCTTCTCTGGGAAGGCCTCTTAGGCCACACTGGGGATGCTACACCCTGGAGGCTCTGTGTAGGCTCTTGGGGTTGGTGAGGCTGTGTTGCTGATCCCTCTGCTCTCTAGAGGGATGGCTCAGGGATGCTGGTCCCTAGATTCCCTGCCCTGTTCTTTCCAATTGCTTACTCCACATTCCAAAGCCAGTACTGCCCTGCTCCTTTCCGGCACTCGTGTGGGAGGAATTGTGCCCTATGCAGGTGCACAATGTGGCCTCTTGTCCACTGGACACTCACAAATGATGGAGACATATTTTACTCTAAAGTTGAAGCCCATTTCTGAACTGCACTGCAGTTTTTATTGTAGTAGTATCATATTATTTTCATGAATTTAAAGATACACATGTGTTCTCTCTCTCTCTCTCTCTCTCACACACACACACACACACAGAGAGAGAGAGAGAGAGAGAGAGAGAGAGAGAGAGACAAACAGTCTCAGAACTACTGGACATGGTGGCACATGCCCATAATCTTAGCACTTACCAGGCTAAGACAGAAGAATCATGGGTTCAAAATCAGCCTGGGACATATAGGGAAATCCTGTCTCAAAGCAGAATGGCACCACGATTTAAAAGCAAAACCATCAACAACAAAATTCTCAGAACTGGCTAAAAATTGAGGAGGAAGCACAAGAAACAGATTTTCAAAGTCAAGAAGTTGTCAAATTCATTAACCTTGTTTTCACTTGATTATAAACTGGTTAGAAAAATAACTTAAGCATTGCTTGATACCGAGTCTGAAGTGGGAGCTATTTATAGTTTATGAATGGTATTTTGGGTCAGTAAGCTTCCAACAGCCTCTGTTTCATCCCTCTTTTTCAGATCTGGCGCGTGGAGAGCAGCGGGAGAGCGCAGATCGACCCGCAGTCCCACGGCGAGTTCTTTGGCGGCGACTGCTACATTATCCTCTACACTTACCCCAGAGGCCAGATCATCTACACATGGTGGGTGTTTCCAGAGCACCCCTGACTACAGCAGGCAGCTAGTACTCAGATCATGTGGACCACGGGGATGATTTCCCAAAATAACAGGGGTTAGGCAGACATGATGACTCAGTAAAGTCATACAAGGGGCTAAGGCCATGTTTCTTTCAAATGGATATGTAAGTACCCACTGCACATATCTCTAGACGTCCACAGGGCAATCCAGGATTAGTAGGTAACAATACGCCAGTAGCTTTAATTGTTCTCGTCATGATCTGCACCATATGCTTCATTTCGATATTTTACAGTACCTTAGGTCTCTTTTTGGAGTGGTGTAAGAATGTAAGAGGGTGTTGGAAGTTAACCACAAGCCAGTGTGGTTTGCTTACGTTCCTCTAGGCAAGGAGCAAAAGCTACACGAGATGAGCTGACCATGTCTGCATTCCTGACTGTGCAGTTGGATCGGTCCCTGGGAGGACAGGCTGTGCAGGTTGGTGTACTTTACCTTCCATCTCATACGATGCCAGAGTTTCCTAGCCCACTTCCTAAGGGAGGCTCAGTTCCCACATTCTAAGGGATTTTGAAACTTTTATGTTGATTTCTTTTTATTTTGAAATTCAAATAGTAAATAATGCACTAATGATCTCAGATTCACCAAAGGCAAAATAAAGACATCAACAAACTAATAATTTCAGAGACCAAGAAGAAAGCATAGAGACTCCCCCATATGTTAAAATCACTTGACATTTCCAGTTATGAACGAACAGTAATAATAGACAGAATTATGTGTTTGTATGTGCACATCCTAATCCTGAGACCCTGTGAAGATGTTATGTTACAAAGCAAAGGAGAATTAAAATCGAAGACGGATTCATAATCACTCCACATCTGGCCTCAAGTTAGGGAGATGACCCGGGATTACTGCATGAGGCAAAGCACTCATCAGGGTCCTTAGGAGTCAACTGCTGAGACAAGCAGTGTGAGAAGGATGCAGGCTGATGGAGACTCTTCGGAGAATTGCTGGCTTTAGGGGAAAGAGGGACCCAGGAAAGAACCCAGGCAACCTCTAGGTCCTGAAAAAGGCAAGGAGAAGAATGCATGCTCTCGTCCCTTCCTCTCTACCCGCAGTGTGTCTGTCTTCTCTTGCCATCTGCACATGCTTGTTTTAGCTGGACATCTCTCTCTCTGTGTCTCTTCTATTTCCTTTCTCTCTATAGCCCTGTTGCTTACCTTACCACCTGGCTGTATTCTCTAGTGGGTTTGTGGGGGGATGCCATTTGTTTGCATGAGCTGGGAAAAACATCTTCTAGACAGTTCCCATTGGCCTGATTTTGATGGTTCTGATTCAGCATCGTGAAGTGTTCTCGTCACAAGGATGTGGCAGCTTAGCTACCTCGTGTCTGATGTCAGGCGAACTCAGGTTCTCTGTGCCATAAAAGGTGGTTTTGTTTTGAGTTTTCTCTATGATGGGTAAAGGGATACACAGAAAAACTCTGTCTCAAAAAACAAAAAAGGGCTTTTGTTTAGTGTTTTGTTTTTCAAACCTTTATAAATACGTGGTTTGATTTTTCAAGTGCCATAATTAAGCAGAGAGACGATTCAGATGCCTTAAGGCATAAGATGCTGACGTGGAGGCTGAACTTGGTCTTTAGCTGATTTCTTTCCATCTTGGTCTGAGTTAATAGACACACAAACAAGTTGACTCGTGCGTAAAGGGGCACACCAACCATGTTTATAAAAAACTGATTAACAAGATTGCTGGATTCTTTAGATGCATGCAGCTCCATTCTTAACCAAGTATTTCATCACGGGAATATACAGTATTTATAGTCGGGTAGGATATCACCTCTGTTGTGTAGCTGAGCTTACAGCTGTTCCTCACAAATGAATCAAAATGTTTGCACCACACATCGTGCTTCGAGATTTCTCAGTACAGAAGATGCCATACAACTCACAAGCTTCCAGGAACGAGCCCGCTGAATCCTACGGCTGACGAAATGCTAATTTCTTATTGACTCACACTAGATGGCACAACTTCACAGTGATGATTCTAGAATAGGTGGAGGTCGGCCTTGCTCTTGCAAGCATTTTTGGTAGAGTATCTTGGCAATATTTATGCAGTTATTACACAATTTAATCCACCGTTTGCCCTCTCTAGTCCTCTCTGGAGGAAAGCAGGGACGGCAGCCAGTGCCCCTTCCTCACGCTGGCGATTGCCGGTGTTTGAAGGTTATGTGACATATTTGTAGGTTTCAGTGCTCCGTCCTGCACTTTCCAAACTGAGCAACCACACCAGAAGATGCTTCATAAGTAGCTGCTCACCCATTTGGATGTGGGCTTGTTGAACCCATGACATCAGTTATTTTCAGTGTTTCCCGGGAACCTATAGTTGGGGATGCCCCTAAGTTCCCATTTGCCTAGCTTCTGGAGGCTCTTCATTATATTTCTGCTCCCCTGCCCTGTGCACTCAGGTCCGCGTCTCTCAAGGCAAAGAGCCCGCTCACCTGCTGAGTTTATTCAAAGACAAACCGCTCATTATTTATAAGAATGGGACGTCCAAGAAAGAGGGGCAGGTGCCGGCTCCCCCTACTCGGCTCTTTCAAGTCCGGAGGAACCTGGCATCTATCACCAGAATTGTGGAGGTAAGGCTACATGCTCTGTGAATGCGCACCGTGTGTGCACTTGCCAACATGCCTGGCCTCTACACACTGGCAAACAAATGCCTTTTACGTCAGCAGCGTGAGAATATCACAGGCAGGAAAACTGTGGCAGCAAGGGGCAGGAAGCAGCTACAGCTCCATCTTGGGGTAGGAGGATCATGAGGCATGGTCAGATGGCCACGAAACCTGGGGATATCTAGGAGGAAGCCCTTTGAACAAGAAAATCTGGCCACACTGGAGTAATCCATCACAGTCTGAATTTGAGCCACCGTTGAAATCCAGCTTTCTCCCATGGCTCCACGGCTCCGTGTCTCCCCAGATCTGGAGCTGTCTCTAAACCCTTTCACTTTTCACGAGTCACTCAGTGAGCTCTGAAAATCCAGCCCATCTTTCCTCAGTCTACTGCAGCCTCTCTGAGACTCCTCCTGCCTCATCTCTGGCTGTCCTCTGAGGACTGCCTCCACCAACCCTCTGCAGTGGAAACTGATTCCTCTCTGGCTCCATTCACTAAAGGACCCCTGGATGGGGAAGGCAGGACAGTGTTCTTGCTCACTCAGGCCCCCCTCATTTCTCTTCTTATTATGGTGCTCCCACCTTCCACCAAGGCAGCCCCTCCCGCTGTGGTCCCTCCCCCACAGCTGTCATAGTCTGAGAAGCTGGTCCTGCTTTCTCTCATTGTGATGGCTTCAGCCACAGGCTCCTTTTCTTCCAACCGTCTCCTCCTTGTACATAGTTCTCTGATGATGTGGCTGTGTCCGTGAGGCTCCTGAACGTTCCTCTGAAACCTAGCCACCCCTCCAGAGCGGTTCTCCTGGGGTTTACTCTGCCTGCCCTCTAGGCACTTAAGGGTTCCAGGTCAAGGTGATCCTAAGTGGTCAATCATTTAAATTTGGCCTCCATATTGATCTCACTTACAGGATTCTGGGCTCAGATTCTCATGTGTTCAATCATAACTATTTTTTTTTAAATCCATTCTATTGACAGTGGATTTATTTTCTCCATGGACACTCGTTTAATTTATAGATGGGAGAGCCAAATCATACTGTTCCACTTGAGCTTGCTTTGGCAGCACAAAATACTATCATTGAAATGATGCGGATTAGATTAGCATCTTACTATGTTACACTGTAAGACTCATGGTCTCTTCCGTAGTTGGTGTTTCTTTAGGAGACGTCATCAACTGAATTCAACAATTCCCCCCCCCCCGCCTTCTTGCAGCATCCCGAATCTGCCTTTACCCCTCCAGTTCTGCCCATATATCAGTCACAATGATTTTATGTGACCTCTGTCTTGTCTCCTGGAAAGCTGATGCTTCCTAAACAGGAAAGAGTTCTTCCCCAGGCTCACACCACTTTGGGCACTGGCTGCTTGTCACCTTTCTTCGTATTTCTGGCTGTTTCGTCTGCATTCAAAAGGAAACATACAGAAAGGAAATCTAGACCTGGTGGCTAGCATTCTCCACCAACTCACCTGATGATGATTTCCTTCAGCTGGGTCCAGGAGGCCTCGTTCCTGCTGAAAGAGGACAATTATGCTTGCCAGAATGCTGCCAATCCCCAGAGCTTGTCTTTTAAATTCCAACAGCCATTTCTCCTCTAGATTTTCTCTCTAGGTCAGGTTGTCACAAACTGGCAAGATCCATCTCTCCTGCAGCAGAGGAGTTGATCTGGACGGTTCCATGAGGTGGGCCGAGCAGCAACATCTGCCCAGTGTCTCACCCCAGCCTTCTTGACATGCTCCTGGCTGTAGTCTCTGTTGTCCACTCTCCTGCTTCCCTCATCCCTCCTGGTTTGCTCTGTCTCAGTCTGGATGACTGCTTGCTTGTTCCTGGTCTCCCTGGGAGTCATATGGCACTCAGCTCCACAGGACTTAGAGAATCCCGCCTAGTTATGTGACTGTGTGTTCAGACCAGGTCTCACAGACGTAGTCACAATGTCACCAAGCCACAGAGTCGTAGATCCAAGCCCATCCTGGAATGCTGGTGATCATGGCCAGGCCAGAGACTGCAGGGGTCTTGGCCCTGTCTGATGTTTCCATGGGCCACATCCACTGGCCAGTGTCTAACCCATCTGAGCTCCCTCATCTGTGGGCACAGGAATCCAAATTGCTCTTGGGAGACCTGAGGCATTGTCTTCAGCTTCTGCTTAAAGTGAAGGTGTGCGCTAGGGCTGCTTTTCATCCCCTACACAGACCTATAATTTGAGCCAGCATTTTTCTGAGTCAGAAAACTACTGTAGTGCTCCTGAAGCCATTGCTTTGCCCTCCCTGTTTTATGGGCTTGGGGGTCCCTCTCTTCAGTGGGGAGGAAAGGGACCAGCTTTTCTTTGCTTAGCATTTGATGTTGCACCCTCTGTTCAGGTGTCACATGTATCATGCCCCCTGTGGTATCTCTGAATATTATTTTTCATTACTTTGTCAAGTCCTCAGTTGGGTTGTTTTTAAATCTTTAGTTTGTGTGTGTGTCTATGTGAAAATCTACTAGGTTTGTCTGCCATGTTTGCCTACCATGATTGGTAACCAGAAGAAGGTGTTGGATATCCTGGAGCTGGATTATACCAGTTGGGAGCTGCCCATTGTAAGTGCTGGTGATCCATCTCAAGTCCTCCAAAAGAGCAGTGTGTGTGCTTAACCACTCAACTGACTCTCTGCCCTCTTGCCTTGCTTTTGAGATGGAGTCTTCTGTGTAGCTTAGGCTAGACTTTTCATGATTCTTTTGCTTCACCCTAGAGTGCTGGAATTATAGGTGAGAACTATCATGTTTGACCAAAACCCTCAATTCCTGACTGATGACTTGACTGTTTTATTTATTTATTTTTAATTAATTAATTTTGAGGCAGAGTCTGTCTATGTAAGCTTTGCTGCTCTGGGATGTCTGTGCATTCCAGGCTGGCCTTGAATTCACAGATTTCTGCCTGCTTATGCCTCTTGCGTGCTGGGATTAGAAGCTTGGGATACCACACTCTGCCAAATTTTTAAACTTTGCTCTACTGTCTGAAAGCAGCTGAGCATCATGTGACCAGGACCAAGGTGTCCTTCCTCCAGTGTTCCAGGCATGTAATGCACCTCTGTCCTGAACTGATTCCCTGGGTTTAGGCAGAATCTCCTGATAGCCTCCGTAGTTCATTTGAATCCTTGTGTTACTTTTCTCTCATGCTCTAGGTTGACGTTGATGCAAACTCATTGAATTCCAACGATGTTTTTGTCCTGAAACTGCCACAAAACAATGGCTTCACCTGGATCGGAAAAGGGGCTAGTCAGGAGGAGGAGAAAGGAGCGGAGTATGTGACTGATGTTCTCAAGTGCAAAACCGCAAGGATTCAGGAAGGCGAAGAACCAGGTGTGCGCAGTGGGTTAGGGTCGCCACTTTCTTATTCAGTGTGCTTAATTGACCTCAGTCAATAAGTAGTCATTTTTTGTATCATTAGAGTTGTGCAAGGACGCCTCCTTTAATTGCAAACGTGTTGATGGCATCTGGTATAATTACATTAGGGTGAGACAATATTGCCATTCAGGTAAAATCATACCAAGCACGTGCTCCTGAATATGCATTGACTCATTCATTGTGCATTCCACAGAGGAGTTCTGGAATGCTCTTGGAGGGAGAGGAGACTACCAGACCTCACCATTGCTGGAAACCCGGGCTGAAGACCATCCACCTCGGCTGTACGGCTGCTCCAACAAGACTGGGAGATTCATTGTAAGTGTCTTAAATAGACAGAGCCTAGCGTTAGGTCTTCTGTGCTGGCTCCCAGAACTTCCCGTTGTGACCCTTGTGAGTCCTAGGTGAGCTTCTCTGTCAACTGTGGTTGACAGTCTTCACTCTGTGCAGGATAGCTTAAGGCCCAATGATATGACCAATACAGAAACATCTAGAAAACTGTAAAGTAATAGATAACAAAATGCCCTTAAAAATAGGTACTTTGTTCCCGTATCAGCCTTTGGTGTTTCTTTGTGAACTGTGGGTGACTGGGTCTGCTCATTTAGAAATTAGATACTTTCCTGGGGGACCAAGTATAAGATTTCCAGGTAGTTTCATAGAGGAATAGAAGTTTTCTCCAGGTTGACTGAATGAAAAAAGTCACAGAGAGCTTTGTGGTCCCCTGAAAATGAACTGACATCCATGGAAATGCTTTGTTTTATAGTCCTTTGAAATCCAGGCAATCAAAAGTAAACCTAGAAGACTAGGGACGTCTGTTGTGTGGCACTATCCTAGGGAGACAGGAACAAATGTCTCCTCACCCCAGATAGGGAACCAGTGACAGTCCAAAGGAAGGAAACCACAAGTCCAATTTGGTGAGCCACTGAGTTTTACTAGTCATACTTATAGGAGCAGAAGTGACTCAAAGAGAGCTACGGCATCAGCGCCAACTCCTGCATGGACGACAGCTCATGAAAGCTGGAAACCTGGAGCACACGGCAGGGCTTGTGGGCAGCTCAGTGGGCTGGAGAAAGTCTCTTCCGCGCTTCTTACCTGGTCTTGTCTCTCAGCAGTCCTTGCTACCTAGGCATGTTCTGGGAGGAAGACACCTGTGTGTTTAATCAGTTTTAGGTACTTCCTGAAGTTGTTCAGTGTTTTACTTCATGAGCTCAATGCAAGACGGACGGTTTCACCTCCCTTTAGAACATTACTCCCTGAGTGCTAATGAGCTTCCCTCCCAGGTGGAGTGTTTCATCTGGGAGGAAATTGTGCACCACAAAGTCTTAGTGTAAGCTGTTTTAACACAAGTGTGGTAGATTGGGGTGTTTATTGGCCTGGGAGGTCCAAGCCAAGGCACCAGCATATCTGTTGCCTGGGAGGGCCCTCCTGCATTATCACGTGGCCCGGTAAGCTGAATCTGTCTCTTCTTAGTACACTGCTCCTGTCACTGGGCCTATCCTCGTGACCTCAACTAAACCTAATTACCTCCCATCAGCCTCTGCCTCCTGATGCTAACCACAAACATGCAGTCCATAACAGTACATGACTTTATATTGGGTTGTGAAATTCACTCTAGGCTATAGCCACTCACCTCCTTTAAGTATTGAGATGGTGTATTGTGGTTGGGTAAAAAACCTTCTGCAGATTTCTGTTAGATCAGTTTGAGTCATAACATCCGTCACTTTCCTCATTTCTCTGACAGACCTGTTCACTGGTGTTAGTGGGGTATTGAAGTCTTCCACTATTGTTGTATGTGATTTGATGTATGATTTAAGCTTTAGCAACATTTCTTTTACAAATGTGGGTGCCCTAATATTGTTCTTCTGACTTAAGTTTTTTTTTTAATGATTAAATGATTGATAAATATTCTATAAGAAGACAGTAAGGGACCGGAGAGGTGGCTCAGTGGTTGAAAGCACAGACTGCACTTGTAGAGGACCCAAGTTCAGTCCCAGAACTCTCCTCAGTTAGATCCCACCACACGTGACTCCAGCTCCAGAGAATCCAAGACACTCTCTTTTGACTTCCTAGGGCCATATGTACACACACCCCTGACACACACACACACACACACACACACAAAATTATTAATAATCAGCCGGGCGGTGGTGGCGCACGCCTTTAATCCCAGCACTCGGGAGGCAGAGGCAGGCGGAGTTCGAGACCAGCCTGGTCTACAAGAGCTAGTTCCAGGACAGGCTCCAAAGCTACAGAGAAACCCTGTCTCGAAAAATCAAAAAAAAATTATTAATAATCTTTTTTTTCTTGGAAAATTTATTCATTTATTTATTTTAGTTGTTTTTAAAAAAAAATTTTTTTCTGCCTCCTCTCCGTTTCCCATTTCCCTCCCCCTCCTCCCACACATCGCCCCACAATATAAAGCAATTAATTCCTCTCTAAACATGTTAGGTTGCTTTTGGTTTGTTTTGCTTTTGCTTTTTTGTGTTATCTTAAGGATTTCAGAATCTCCTCAGGGCACAACAAACACATTAGAGGGTAAGGCTACCTGGTTAGCTTCTCTACACTGTTTTCCCGTGATAGTCAGCAGCACGGGAAAGTACTGCTGAGTCACATTTGTTAATATGGACTGGGAGAGGCCAAGGTCAGTTCCATGCATGTGACTCACTGCTCAGATGGAAGGTACATGGAATTGGGGACCAAAACCTAAACTGTCAAATTTTCCTAATAATTAGGGAGAATTGCAGAATTCTCTAAGACACTGAACCACAGATTAACGTGTTTATTCACATTGATACTGCAGTAACTTTATCATTTAATCATTTTTTAAAAAGCAAAATGTATTCCATTAGAACTAAAAACAATGAAAATTTCCATATATATTATACTGCCTTATTAAATTTGTTAATTGATTAAATTAATTACTGACTCTTTAACTATAACTTATAAAAGGTAACTCCATACACAGACAATTATATCAAATGTATTGAGACTAGGCAGGCAACAAAATCTGTGGAGCCTTTGTCATGGGAACTGCAAGTACAGGAGGGCTGTGCTCACATGAACTGTTCTTGTCCATCCTAAAGAGGAGCTGTGCTCACATGAACTGTTCTTGTCCATCCTAAAGAGGAACTATGCTCACATGAACTGTTCTTGTCCATCCTAAAGGGGTTCTAATGCTGTATTTATATTAGGCGCTACCCAGACCAGACTGTACCATCAATATGTGATACTTGATTACATAGATAAATCTGTTCCCCTCAACTGAGGAAAATGTGACTAATCAAGTGTTTCCCTGTCACCAAAAGTACAAGAGAGCATTTGTCTCCTGTGTATCAGAAACTTTCTTGCTGTATTGTTTGGTCATGAAATTCCCCAAACATTTCAGATTGAAGAAGTTCCTGGAGAATTCACGCAGGATGACTTAGCAGAAGACGACGTCATGTTGCTCGATGCGTGGGAACAGGTATGTTTTGCTCACAATGAGAGGCTGTCCTTATGATTGAGAGTGGACAGCACTTGCTTTGAGGAATGGTAATTCAAATAATAAGTGGGCCTGGGGACCTAGACTGCACTCAAGATGAATGTCATAGAGTTTGGTGATTTCTCACTCCGAGAAGAATTCTACAGCACCCACCTGTACAGCTTTAGGCCAAGGGCTTCGGCCTGTTGTCAAGAAGCTGTTGATCTTGTGAAAGCAAGCAAGCCCACTTTGTAACTAGAATAGCTTGTGCAAACACGTTCAAATATAACTGTAGTCAGAGACGCTGAATGCAAATGCAAGGGTCTCCTGGTGAGATGGAGCCTTGAGGAAGCAATGAGCTTCCTCAGGTCCCCCCTTCCCGTGTGGGGCTCTCAAGGTAAAGGGGGCAGTGTGGGCAAAGCGCCAAGTCAGCACCCCCTGTACAGCACAGGCTTTCCTTCTGTCTTTCAGATCTTCATTTGGATTGGCAAAGATGCCAATGAAGTTGAGAAAAAGGAATCAATGAAGTCTGGTAAGCTGTCCTGGTACAACTGTAGCAGTAACCCAGCGTGGTTATCATAGCCGGGCTGCCTGTCCCTAGCCCGTCTCAGCTTGTCTTCCAAAAGTACATATCAAATCGGAGAGCTCCAGTTGTCTGTCAGAACTTGAGTAATAGTATCTTTTAAAGTGAGAAAAATTTCATGATACAAAAAAATGTTTTGTTGCCTAATTTAGAATGCATGTATATATGTGTGTGTATGTATTAGTTATTTGAGACAGGGTTTCTCTGTAGCTTTTGGAGCATGTCCTGGAACTCACTCTGTAGACCAGGCTGACTTCAAACCCACAGAGATCTGCTTGTCTCTGCCTCCCAAGTGCTGGGGTTAAAAGCATGTACCACCACTACCCAGCTTAGAGTAATTTTTTCTGAAATTTAGAATATGATTATTTCTGAAAAGCTTTGGTGTCCTTTTAAACACAGTTTTCTATTTACTGAACGATAAGGATACCCATAAGGATAATCTCATAAATTTTGGAATTCTTTCAGTCGAAATGAGACTTTATAATGTACTCTTTATAGCCGATGAGAGAAACACTGTTTGTATTAGGAAATTGTTTGTAGTAGACTACTTGGGGACAAGAAGAATGTAACCCTTTACTTGTATGAAAGAATTTTCATTGTATATTTGTTCCAATTGAACTGAAACTAACTGAACTTTTGTCTTTTCAACTCTTTTTAGCCAAAACATACCTTGAGACAGACCCTTCTGGAAGGGATAAGAGAACACCGATTGTCATCATCAAGCAGGGCCATGAGCCGCCCACATTCACGGGCTGGTTCTTGGGCTGGGACTCCAGCAGGTGGTAAACCGAGTTTCATAAAGCCAGCTGATCTTCTCGCTGTGTGGGGCAGTTTGTACTGGGGATTTGTTTACTTTTTGTTGTTTGGTTTTAGAAGATAAGCCGCTGCCAAATGGATGGTGTTTTAAATGACTAGTATGAGCTCCCCTTCCTCCTCCTCTTCTCCTTGTTCTTTGGTTTTCTTTTTCCTCCTCTTCCTCTTCTTTGCTTTTTTTTCTTAAAGGAATTGTGTGTGTTACTATATTGAAACGGCTTGAACCAAACGTTTGTTTTTGGATCAGTTTTATTGTTTTTTTGTTTGTTTGTTTGTTTGTTTTTTGTTTTTGAGACAGGGTTTCTCTGTAGCTTTGGGGCCTGTCTTGGAACTCGCTCTTAAACCAGGCTGGCCTTGAACTCACAGAGATCCACCTGCCCCTGCCTCCTGAGTGCTTGGATTAAAGATGTGTGCCACCACCTCCCAGCTCATTTTGCTTTTCATAAGACCTAGAAGTAAAAGACTATAATAACATCTAGGGGAATTTCTGAGGAAATTCTCACTCTCAAACTTGACTTCCTACACTAGAGGGCGCTCCAGTGCTCCTGCGTGTTATCCTTCTGGACATTCTGTTTGCAGGATGGTTTATGTCCCTGCTCGGATGCCATCCACTCCCAAGTGTCCTTTTCTGAGACAAGCTTCTTCAGCCTTCTTAGAAACTGAAGTCTTAAGCCCTTCATGATAAAGCGAACTGTACTCCTATCAGTTAAACTTTACATATTTGATAGGATGTGTTTAATATCATAAAAATATGTACTGAATGCTGTTTTCACCATTAAAACACATCTTTTTGGAAAATGTTTTGTGTTGTGACATTTTAGTCAAATTAGATGAGTTACTAATTATTAATTTTGTAGCTTAATACTTTTATGTATAAGTAGATATGAATTTAACATTTCTTACATTGTTATTTAGTAGCCAAGTGACTTTTCTATGGTAAGATTATTATAACATATTTTACATATCACCGACTGCATAAAAAGCACAGGCTCCAGAGGCCAGGAGGTGGGGAAGAATCTAGAACTCTGGTAAACACAGACAGCAGAAGGCCTTTGCCAGAGAAGCGCTGAGTGCAGCGTTATAGTTTGAGAAGACCTAGCTGGGCAGGCGATATTTTACCAACAGAGGGCAGAGAGCCAATCAAAACCAGGCGGTCAGGCCCAGCAAGGCGTGCCAAGCACAAAGCTCTTGAGGAGGAAGGATACCAGGCAAGAGACCTCACAAACAACAAACCATAAACGGGTGGCCTGGGAATGGATATAGACAGCCACGGCCAGTCAAGGGCTGAGCCCGGAATGTTCCATCAACTAGAGGAGATCTCAGTGAGGCAGCAGGAAGAACAGAAGTGTCCTAGAGGATGCTTTCTTGAGATTGCCGACCTTTACTCATAAACGTGGATTTTATAGAAGGACCCATCTTTTGGGTGTTCTGATAATTTCCCCAGCAAGACAGCCAGATATCCCTGTGGATGCTGAAGGAGTTACCACCAAACTGTTCCCTTCTTCAATGAGGAGTACTTGGAGAAGCCAGCAGCAAATGGCAGAGCTTCCTTCCCTTTCAACAGGATTCGCTCATCTCAAGACAGGCAACCAGAAAGAAGATCCCATGGTATCTGAACCACAGCATGGTATCTGAATCCCTTCTCTAAAGCAGACCACCATACGCTGTAATAGAAAAACTGGTGCCCAAAGTGAGGTTTTGCTATAGCAGTGCTAGGCCTTGTTTTGTTGGTAGACATGCTGAGAGGTCTTAAACAAGTATCATAAGCCAGGAGTAAAGCAATCCCTTTGGAGCTTAAAAACACCAAGTAAGACTTTTCCCAGCAGTAAATAAGAAGGTAGACTATGTTCCTCCTGGGAAAAGACGAGAAGAATTCAGGATGCTAATGAGAGTGGACTGCTCTCTCCTGCTTTCCGGAGCCTGCTCCAAATCAGGGCCTGGGGTAGGCTGGGTGAGCAGGAGTAAGCAGGTCCAGAACTGGAAAGCCCTCTTGCACCACTCCATCCTCAGGAACGCAATCTGAACCCACTGAGGGATTAGCAACTTGGGAAAGCCAGTGGTATCTATAAACAAAGCAACAGTAGATAAAGATGCTACTCAGACCTTGCTCAGGGGCTTTCCAGAAATGTGAGCCAAACCAGATACAAAATCAGATTAAGGCTGTTTTCGTGCAGAATGTGGCTGCTATTAGCTCAGCAGAGAAAGGCTATCAACCAGCCAGGACCCTGTTCAGACAGAGCCTCGGCCTACAGCTTCCATCATATGCAGTTCTCTGGAAACAAACAGACCAAAAAAATCTTCTGTTTTGGAGCAATTTTATTTTGCCAAAAATCTGAAATTTGGTTTACAAATGCCCATGATCGTTTGACCGTTGAATACCTTTTGAGATCCAAGTTCTCTCTCAGCTAAGAAAGTTTTGCTGTATTCAGCTTAAAACATAGGATTCCTTGCCCACCCCTGACATCTACTGCAGAAGAGGTACATGCCTTGCAAACACATGCTGTAGATGTGCTCCAGGGCATTGTGGGAAGGGAGGAACTTCCCAAAGGGCAAAGTCAGGGGAAAGAAAGTCAACAGATGGGATTTTCATCTGGAACAGGGTCAAATTCATCAATGAAGTTACCAATTATCAGAGAAGAAACCAAAATTTTTGCCCAAGAAGGTTCCAGTGGTTTGACAGACACATGACTCTGAGTATTTCTCACCGTTTTTCCCAATCAGTAATTTGCACAGAGTTCACGGAAAAGAATAAAAGGACCAAACGATGAAACTCTTGTTTCTCTAAGGTGCTCATAATTAAGTGCATGAGAGAAGAATCTTTTTGTCTATTTGTGGAACAGGTAAACACTAAACCGCGAGAACATTAGAACTCAGGAAGGGTGGATTCGGGCTTATCAGCACACTGGGAAGGCGCGCACACAGTAGTCAGGCTGTGTTGGTCTGTATACAGCGCTGTTTCTATTTAAATATACACATCAAACTGCCAAACATAGGTCTTACAGTGAGTGTCGGCAGAGGGAGACCAGACGATACATTGATGTTCTTCCTAAGTGATATATTGTCGTATTTGTGCGGTACTTAGTGCTTAGGAAGGGCGGAAAGGCCCGGAAGTTCACAGTCAGAAGGGGAAAGCCTCATCTTTGCTGATTCTAAAGGACGATACTCAGCTGAGTCCTGGAAATCCTGCAGCCGTTTAGAGACCCACTGCACAGACTCAAACACAGGCCTTAGTGATCCAGTTCCTGGTCAACTACTTGGTCAAATGCTCACCCATCTACTTTTGCCATCACACCTGGTTGTTGTATTTTGAGTGTTGGCCTCCATTCATGGTTAGAGACTCCAAGTTAAAATACCCAGGAGCTGCACCCGGCTGCTACGTCTTATACTTAGTGAACACGACACCCGTGTATGTGCTTTTCTAGAACTCCTTTGGTTACTCCTTTGTCTACTGATCCAATCTGTTGCTCCTTGGACAAGAAACAAGATTTGGCTGTGTTTTAAACCATCTCCAAACTCAAAAGCTGCATATGGTGCCACACACATATAATCCTTTGAAAAAGTAGAGAAAGGAAGATCTCTGGGGCTTGCTGGCCAGCCAGTCTAGGGCAGTAGGCCCATCCTTTCCAGTATTCATCATCTGCACACCAACACACTGGAGACTAAGCACTCGACACACAACACAACCAAACCAGAGCATATACCAGTCAAACATTCCCTTCGAATGACCATGTCTACACTTCTTTATACAGATCCATCATATTACCATAAAGTAAAATAAGAAAGCAAAATACACACTAATGCTATGCTCACATCTCTCGACATAGCTGCCTAGAGCCAACAATTAGATGGACCCCAAAAAGGCTGTTAGTATTCAGGCATCTGCACTGGCCTGCCCTTGGGGTCCTCACAGGATCCGTCCTCAGCTGCAGCCACTAAGAGCTCCGCCTGTGCACATTCCCTACAGTTCCCTTCTAAAAGATGGACTTGCCCAACAAAGGTAAAAAAGAAATATGTGTTTGTTACCTTTCTCGATATAACAGAGATCACCATTGACAGAGCATGACTTGAATCCAGGTAGTTTGACTCCAGTTTCTCATGAACATGGTTCGAGTGAATCTCCATATATAACAGCGCTTCTGCCTGATACTAAAAACCTCCTACGGAGATCTGCACTAGAATTTGGAGCAGGTTTCCTGTAGAGAAAATGTAGACCGTGATTCAGAGTAGTTAAACAATGAGAAACTCTCCTCGTATTATGATCATTTCAATTTACCAAGACCCAGCATGCACACCGCCCCTCCCCGACCTGTGGGGAGGAGAGAGGGAATCTCTAGGCACAGTGAGAAGTTCTGACAACATCAGCAATGGACCCTCATGTTTTCTGTCCCAGAGGCTAACAAGATGGAGACTTTATACTAGTGTGACATGAGGAATGCCTTTGTCACCCACGAAAGAATACTCTGAAAAAAGAACAGTTTAATATTAGAGATTTGGGACCATTTTTCCTCTCCTTCCCTCTTTTCCTCTATTTCTACCCTACTTTTCTTGTTTTGGGGCAACTACCAATTATGTGGACATTCACTTTCCAGGATTTTAAGGTTTTTTTTTCCCCAAAAAATATTTTTGACATTCATTTAATGTCTGATAAGTGAAACACAATTATCACAAGTATTAAATGTTTATTCATGATTGTGTGTGTGGTGTGCATGTGCAAATGCAAACACATGTGGCACACCCGTCGTGTGCATGCGTATGGAGACCTCGAGTTAACAGTGGTGTCTTCCTTGACCATGCTCCACTTTATTACATAACTGCATGCGCGTGCATGCCTGCACAAAATAAGAATGAAAAAGATGGAATGGAGATTGGTGGCTAGTCATAAGTGAGACATGGAATGAGACAGGGTTGCTCTGTAGCTTTTGGAGCCTGTCCTGGAACTAGTTCTTGTAGACTAGGCTGACCTTGAACTCACAGATTCACCTGCCTCTGCCTCTTGAGTGCTGGGATTAAAGGCGTGTGCCACCACTGCCCAGCTCGGAATAAATTTATTAACGATTCTGAGATTTGTTTTTGGAGCGCTTAAGTAAATTGCCATCAGACAGTATGGACTAACTCAAGAGGCCATGTTTCAACAAGGGCAACAGTGAGATCACACAGCAGACTGAATATTGCGAAGTTCTTATGGTGAAGGTTGAGCCATAAGAGGTGCTCAGGTCACGGGATCCATGCCCTTATAAAGAAGCTCTAGAGCGGTTCTCAGCCTTCTTTTGGATGTGCTTAAATATCCCTTCACCTCGTGTATCCACGCTTTGCTTTCGCCTGCATTTCTTTCTCCCACCATGTGGTGGAGAGTTCTATTAATATCCAGCTTTTAAAAAATGGCATTCCTCTTTCTGTCTGTTCGTACAAGTATAGCGCTTGATGCTATTTCTAGCTTACAGGTGAAAAACCTGTTGAACGTCACAGTAATTGTGTACTTGTGCATCTAAGAGATCCATTGGCCTGTTCTTTCAATCAGAGGCCTTTCCTCCTATTTAGCTGGATATTTCACTTGGAGAGTCCATTAAAAATGCCTTAAATGAAGAGTAGAAAGATGGCAAAGGTTAGGAGGGACATGTTACTTTTAGTATGTGCTTGTAATGTTATGTGGTGGATTATGGGAGAGAAGACGGGTACTGCAAATATCAGAACTGCTCTGAGGTCTGGAATGTGGTTAAAAAACGGAAACCATGTCGGTTAGTCAACAAAGTTACTGGCAAGAAAAACTTTATACATTTCTTTAGCAGTTGCTCAAAATGGCTTGTCAATGACTGAGCAGAATGCTTCCTTGAAATGCGATCATCAGTCCCTGGTCCTTTTTCCGATGGTTCCGGCTTGAGAGATACTGAGCTGAATCTGCAAAACTGTAACTAAAAGTAGAAGCCTCAGGCCCTGGTGTCTGCCTGTAGTTTGTCTCAGGATAGCTTCAAATTTGCATTTATTTAGAGAATTGCGAACAACGTAATAGTTGTAGTTACAAACTTCGTCCAACAGATGTCAGTGTTGCCCTCAAAAACTAAAATCTCCCACAGAACCCCCCAGGTGTTTCCTCAGGACACCCCAGGGCATGGCAGTGCAATTTTGAACTGGAGCCCAAAGGTAACATCTTCCTGGGATTATAACTAAATAAAATACCTAAAAAGGCTCTGTGCAGCAAAGTGAAGAGTGGGTTTCATAAATTCCGTGGCTTTTAATCATTTGCTGCTGTTTGTATACTGTTATTACTGCTTATAGAGTAAGACAGCAAACATTCTTTCTATACAGAGGTACAGGGAAAATACATCAAGCTTGGGGGGGGGCGCGGGTCAGGTGGTCTATATTGCAGTCATTCTTTCTGTTGGAGTTCTTCAAGTCACATGGAAATTGCGAATCTCTCAAACTCAACAGGCTGTGGTCTGCCAGTGACTGTTGTAGTCAAAGGCCCAGAGTAAACCAGCGAACTTCAGTGAGAGGCTTCTGCAAGGCCGGAGACTCGGTGTTTGCAGATCTCACCTGCTTAGCTTCTAAGACTGCAAAACTGCAACCGAGCAAGGAACACCTGCCGGGCCTGCTTGAGCTCAACACTACTGAAATGGGAATTTTACTCTGTATTAAGGAGATTTGCAGGCGATTCTAGCTTAATCAAGAATGGCTGTTAAAATTCCCAAGGAGAGCAATTATTGCACTAAAGCTTTTCTCACTTTTTAGGCTAATGACTGTAAATGGCTAATGAGATCCCATACTTACAACAATCTTTAGCTCAGATTACATCCGATAACTTGATAGAATATGTCATTTGAGATTTCTAGCCTTTTCTTGCAAAATTAATGATGCTGTATTAAAACTTAGCACTCTGCTTATTGCTTAGGTTTTATATCAAAAAATGGAAAATGGCGGCACACTCTAACCCCAGCACTCGGAGGAAGAGGCAGGCAGAGCTCTGCATTTGAGGCCGGCCTGGTCCAAGGCTACACACACACACACACACACACACACACACACACACACACACACACACAAACCTGTCTCGAAAAACAACACAGAAACAAGTCTTTCTATGTTATTCATAAAATAAATACCACTGACAATAGCAGTCTTGAGAAGACTAGAAAATTTCTTAAGGAAGCTACCATCCATATTTTTATTTTATTAATTTTGTTTTCTGAGTCAGTGTCTCCCTATGTAGCCTCGGCTGGCCTGTAACTATGTAGACCAGGCTGGACTTGACGCATCCAGATCCGCCTACCTCTCTGTCTCTCAAGTCTTGAGATTAAGGCATGTGTTTGGCCAGAATCTGTATTTTAAAGTGCATTTTAAGGGTGTACCATTATTATAGATTCCAAATAAAAATTTCCCATGGGCTCTACCAGGCGCTAAGAGCCCTTTTCTTTGTTCTTCTTATGAGCACTCTGAAAGGAATGCTGGTCACATTCTGCACCTGGCCCATGAATCAATTTGGGTTCCTTCTGTCTTATAGAGAATGGAATATTAGCAAATGGACAGTTTGCCTTCTACTGTCAAACACAGAGGACACAGGTACATTCTACATCTCACGGAGAAAATTGTGCGCTATCAGGTGCAGCTTTATCCTGTTTTTCTTGGGCCACACTGGAAACATTCAGCGTTCCAGAATGCATTCCTTCCTCCGTAACAGGAGCATTGGTTCCAGTCCCCATGGTTCTGGGGCGCAGGTAGACGCAGGTAGGAGGGAACCCCTTGGCTTTCAAAAGGCAGGAGGTTACCATCCGAGCCAGCCCGTGCAGGGGAGGCCGCCGCGTGACGTCAGGGGCCCGCCGGGGCAGTGTCCTCCGGTATCCCGGACCCTGAGTCACCGCCTCCGTGCCGAGGCCGCCGTGGGGTGACAGGAGGAGGAGCTGGACCGGCGACGCCCGCTCGCACCCAGCCCGCGGCGGCAGAAAGATCGAGAAGCGGCTCCGCCCGCGGCCGGGCGCCGGGAGGGCTGGAACGTGACGTTGTTTGGGCGTTGCTAGGAGACGCGGCTGGCACGCACGCGCGCGACCCCTCTCTCTTCCACCCCCCCCCCCACCGGGCAGGCGCGGCGCGAGGGGCGGAGCCGCGGCCGGTGGCGAGGCTGGGCGAGCACCGTTAGTGGGGCTGGCGCGCGGCGTCGGCCTGGCCGCCGTCAGGCCTCGCCGCTGCCCGGGGAACGGACACTCCCCGGCGGCTGACAGCCGCGGAGGCGGGACGACGGGGGACCGTCAGCCAGGTGAGTGGCGCGGGGGTCACGCCCTGGGGACGGTCAGGGGCGGGACGCACCGCTGCCGGGGCCGCTCGGCGGTACCGAGGGGCGGGCCCGGTGGGCGAGCCGGGGCGCGGCTGGCGGCTGCGGTCCCTGGGGGCGAGCGGCCGAGCCTGCGGCCCCGGGCTCCGCTCGTTTCCCACTCCCGGCAACAGGTGGTGCCGGAGGGCCGAGGGCGAGCCCGGCTCGGCGGCCCTGGGAGCGGCGGGCACCCTCGCCAATGAGGGCGCCGGGGGCGGGCGTGGCGTGGCTGCCCTGGCGCGCTGACCAATGGGATCGCGGGGCCTGGGTGGGGTGGGCGTGGCCACGGGCCCTGTCTGGGCTTCCCTGCGCCGCGGCGGCAGGCAGAGCTGCGCGGAGGTCTCGGCCGACACACCGCGGCCAATGGTTCCCCGTTGGGATCCCGACTCCAGCCCGGGAGGTGAGAGCGTCGGTCTCGGGGGATCCCCGGGTACGCGGTGACACCTGCCGGCTTAGATCTCCGGGGTCGGGCTGCCCTTTTCAGTGCTGTGCCCGGCAAAGGCACTGGGGTGGATACGGTGACGGGCGCCAGATGCTGGGTGGCTGGGTTGTCTTCAGGGTGAGCGTCTGAGGTTCGGGGATAGTGGAGGATAGAGAAGAGTGCACGTTACTGTCCGCGCCACTCCAAGTAGAGGGGCATCGGAGCCTTTGGGTGATCGTTATTCACCGTTTGTTTTGGACTTCGTACGTTTCCTATCTCATCTGGTGTGTTTACATACAGCAAGTTTTATTGAGCTCCTCGTGGCGCTTATTTTTAGAGAGAACCCGTTTTAAGGTGTTCACAGTAATAACACGCTCGTTTCCTCCCCAGCAATCTCGTAGCTCGATCACCCAGGAGGAGAAATTGTAAGCGGACCAAGAGGAACGCGTTCGGTTCGGTTTGGGACGCCATTCGCAGCTGGAAATGGGGAATGGACTGTCAGACCAGACTTCCATCCTGTCCAGCCTGCCCTCCTTTCAGTCTTTTCATATTGTTATTCTGGGTTTGGACTGCGCCGGGAAGACGACAGTTTTGTACAGGCTGCAGTTCAATGAGTTTGTAAATACCGTACCTACCAAAGGATTTAACACGGAGAAAATTAAGGTAACCTTGGGCAATTCCAAGACAGTCACTTTTCACTTCTGGGACGTAGGTGGTCAAGAGAAGTTAAGGCCACTGTGGAAGTCATATACCCGATGCACAGATGGCATCGTGTTCGTCGTGGACTCTGTCGATGTGGAGCGAATGGAAGAAGCCAAAACGGAACTTCATAAAATAACTAGGATATCAGAAAATCAGGGGGTCCCTGTGCTCATAGTCGCTAACAAGCAAGACCTGAGGAACTCACTGTCTCTCTCAGAAATTGAGAAATTGTTAGCAATGGGGGAACTGAGCTCCTCGACCCCTTGGCACCTGCAGCCCACCTGTGCAATCATAGGAGACGGACTGAAGGAAGGACTTGAGAAACTACACGATATGATCATTAAAAGGAGAAAAATGTTGCGGCAACAGAAAAAGAAGAGATGAGTGGCGTGCCCTTCGTGTGGGTGTGGAATGGTTTCCTAGGGCTGGTTCTGACGAGTTGAAGAGTGTACAGCCTGGTTTGCCTGTCTGCCCTCGCGGATGCTATTAAAGCTTTGTTTGGTTGAACAGTCAGATACCCAATTTTGTTGCCTTGGGGAAGATGAGTAAATGCAATGCTTCTTAAAGTGGTTGGTCTCTTCTCCCTGACCCACAGATCTTTTGGTACTACCATTTTGGAAAGTCAAAAAAGGCTGGTAATTGGCCAGAAAACAATTTTGTGGAAATATTTGACCTGAAGTTAGTGAAATAAAACTTTGAAGAGTGTATGTCTAGTGGTTTGTGCTTGTATCTTTGGGGGAAAGCCTTTGCCAAGAAACTGCGAAAAAGGCTTTGTAAACACAAAATGCGAATGAATGGGAATTTAGTGTAGATTATTGTGTACACACATACACACAGGTAAATTGAATACACTGGGATAAGAAGGATTTTCTTTTGAAGTTTTGGCTACATAATTTTTTAGCGTTTTTCTGGAATCAATTTTAATGCTATCTCTTTAATTCATGACAATGTTGAATTGATTTAGTCTATAGTTAATAAAAATATTGGGGTATATTCCAGTGCATGGATTAGTTTTACTGCCAAGCATGTTTGGGTGTGTAGTCTTTAGAAATAACTATGAATCTGTCTACACAGATTTAAAACAACAGCTTTTGGGCCTTAGAGCTATTGTACAAATAGTTCATTGCTAGAACTGTCACGTGAACCTACAAACGACTCTGTCATCTAGTGTAGTAAATATGAGCATGTTGACTAAATGCATATGCTTGAGTTTGTGGATGGAGTTACGGAGAAAGTGGGGATTCAGTCCGAGGAAGCTACTGCAATACAGAGTTTCTAAAATAACCTAGTGAAAAGATGTGTGTTTTATTACTCTTCGCTGGCTGGAAACAGAGCTTTTTTCATATATTTTTGTAGCATTTGGGGAGGGATGGAAGCTTTCTAGTCTTCTGATGCGCTGTGGGATGAATTTGTAAGATACCTTTCGATATGTGTTCTGAGCTTTAATGTTTTTATTTATCAGCCGAACAGGATTTCCAGAGCTCTCTAGCTCTGATGGTAGGAAACAGTGTTAGGGTACTGCAGCTAGGAGTTCAGATCCTAGGGATGAAGGGGAGAGTGGCAAAGCCATCTCACGACAGTTAGCTGGTGCTGCTCCTACTGTAATAAAACCAAATGAAATTAGGAGGAGGCGAAAACTTTAATCCTTATCTCCAGGAAGAGCCTGATTTTCAGTAATCACATATTAGCGAATCAGCGTATTTCCTGGGTCTGAAGCCAGCAGCTGCTAGGTCTGCATTCTCCAAAGGACGTGCGCTTCGATAGCAGGACTCATTTTGGTTTTGAGCTTTTAATTTCTTTTTCCAGTGACACAACTGAATTTTTGGAACCTCGATTCTTGTTACAAAATGAAGTAACTCCAAGTGGAGCTGTCCTGTCAAATGTACCCACACTAGTGGCCACCTAGCATGTTTGCTTATAGAGTTGTGGGTAGCAATTCCCAGGACCGGCTTGAGGCACTAGGAGAACAGGCTGGCTTTCAGTTTAATGTATTTCTACTGCTGCAGCTTTTAATTAGATATGTAAGAAGGACTTTTGTCAGCTGGGCTATTGAGTTTTATAACAGTTTGGATTTTCTCCTGTGATTTTCACAGAGGCTATTTTCTGAGAGGATTTTTTCCTCTTGTACTGAATTATCAGTATCCTCTCCCCAACCCCCAAGTCTGTGCTGGGATAATAAAGCTTGTTTTCCTCAATTCTCAATCAGTTTAGATTTTCACCGAAAACCTTCCCTTTTCTGTTCTTGCTATACAAAGTAGTTAGGGCCAGGCATGGTGGCACAAGCCTTTAATCTTAGCTCTTGGGAGGCAGAGGCAGGTGGATCTCTGGTTTGCAGAGTGAATGCCAGGACAGCCAGGGCCATGTAGAAAGGCCCTGTCTCAACTCCCCAAAAAGTAACTTGTGTTAACTAGCTTTTGACCCTTGTTTTGTAGCTAAGAAGTGGATTAGCAAGTCCATATTTAGAGAACAGCAAAATGGGCATTGCATAAAACTATATTTATATAAGCCATTTCAATTAAAATTTTACAGTTGGTTAAGATCAAATTCTCTATTACCTGTTAGGGCTATTAATCACATAAGCTAATGAATCTCTTAATCTCAGAGTTTAGGCATTGCTTCTGTATCTGGGTTTTTGATTTTACGTTAAGGAACCCTGTTCCAAAGTATATCTGTCTCTGTGGTGTCAGGGGTCAAACCCTGGGCCGCGTCTGCGAAGCAAGCATGCTGCCGATGAGCTGCCCCACGAGCACCTAAAGCACAGTTCTGAAACAGTTAACTATGTGAAATGAGTTGGTTTAATGTAAACTGTCAGTTGGGTTAAACATTCTAAATTCAAATTACTGTAGAACAAAATGTTTTAAAATATCTTTTGATATTTAAAGACTCAGATATCCAAAGTTATGCTATAGTGGATTATGAATGTTATGTTTTAGCCTGGATGGATTTATTAGTAATCATAAAATGAGGTAAATCCCACTGAAGGCTAAAAAGTGCAGCGTTGGGCTATGTAGATGGAAACTGACACCTAGCCATGGCCGGATGGAAGGTGACTTAAGAACCGTAGGGGTTAGGGTTATGGGGGATGGTAGGCTCTCACCTACCAGGTGCAAGGCTCTGGGTTTGATTCCTAGTGCTGCAAATGAAAACAAAGCCATGACAGGATTGGTTTGTTGAGAAGAATTTCATTGTTCATAATGACCTTGAGAGAAATCTGGTATAATATTTCAGTGTTCTACTTAATGTAACAGTTTCATCATACAAATAATGATTTTAGCAATAACAAAGATACAAAAATGTTTCTTATAATAAATTAATGCAACTTGGAATCTCGGGTTAGACTATCATTTCAAGTCCAGTTTTTTATTGCCGGTTTTCTGCAGTAAGGTCGCACTGTGTAGCCAAGCTCCTCAACGCCCTGGTCACGGGGATGATAAGCACGTACTACCAAACTTGGACAGAGATTTTAAAGTTTCAGTTATTGAACATCCTGGAAATGGACAGTATTGATCTAGAATCCTCAGGTTCTTTTCAAGGCTTTAATATGAGCAAATAAAGGACACCAAAAATATCATAAATTAGTATTAAAGTATTGAAGACCAAAGATAATCCCAATAGACCACAGCCAAAGAATGTTACAGTTCTATGCAAATTCAAAATACAGGGGTGTCAAGTGAAAGGTTAGTGTGGTGGCATTTCAATTGTATGTTAGTAAAACCTGCCTACAGATCTGAGCGTAAAACAGCTCCACTGATCTGCCTTACAGTAGTTACTTACACCTTTAATCCCAGCAGCCACAGCCACGTGTACCTTTAATCCCTGTAGCCACACTAGTTGTCACAGAAGCCATACAATGCACGACTTTAATCCCAGCCCTAGAGAGGATTATAAAACGGGAGGAGACAGCTCTCTGGACACAGTTTCATTCTGAGATTCCTGGAGGCATAATCACTTTTAGGACTGAGGTCGAAACAAGGACCAGTGACTGCTGGCTCTGCTTTTGGGGTCTTTAGGTTGAACCCCAATATTTGTTTCTGAGTTTTTATTAATTGTGCTTCAGGTTAGATTTGGGGAAGAATAATTGTACTAGCTAAAAACATGAGGTTCAAAGTTAGAGTCCCAGTCCTGGCATTTCAGTTCTCCGTGTAAACCTTTGAGAAATCCTCTAAACCTTGTAAATGTTCTGGTGACGTGGAGACTCACTCAGCTTGAGAATGTTGGGAATGTTTATTATACATAAACTCTTCCTTCGGAGTAGGAATGTGTTGAGAGGCCGTGTGGTGTCGTGGTAATGGCCACTCAAGCCCGTGTTTCATAATGGAACCTGCTCACGAGACTTGGCCAGTTTCATAGGGGTCTCTTAGTCTCTTCATTTGTAAGTCAAGGTCGTGCCCACTGTTGGGCTTTGTTTTATTGAATAAGTCAGAGGACTCACTCATAGTAAGTATTGAATACATTAGTGGCTGGCGTGTTCTCTTGCACATGTATTTGAAGAAAGGCATTTTTGGAGTAGGGATGTCAAAGCTCATAGCGTGTTTTTCCTCAGGACCAGTGTGCCGTGGCACACAATGGCAGCCTGGTAGAGCTCAGAAAGTCTAAACATTCTCAGCTCCTTGAAATCTAGGTCATTTTCTTTCGTTTCCCTAACATTTGGGTACAATAAAAGTCTTAATGTTCCCCCAAGAAACAAAAGTTAAAGGTTTGGTTATTTTCTAGTTTGTGATAAAATATTAGTCCACAGAAATTAAAACCAAAGTGTGGATCTTCAAAAATGCTTGTTGCTTTCAAATTACTTTCAATTTGGGGGGTCTTTTCTACCCCCACCCCACCCCACCCCATACTGGAGGTTGGGCCCAGAGCCTTGAGTGCTTGACAAGTGTTCTACCGCTGAGCTACGTCGTCCCCGTGTTGTGTTATCCCCCCCCCCCCAGCCCACCACTGAGCTGTCTCCCTAGCTCTTCTGGTCAAGCGATTTATTTATTTATTTATTTATTTATTTATTTATTTATTTATTTATTTATTTATTGTCTTTTGTTTCTGTAGATATTACCCATAAGGGGTAAGATGATTTTATAAGTAAATTGGGTAAAAAATCCCAAATATTAGCCTAAGTAAGCCAAATGGTTACCCCAGTTTTATAACGAGGGAGAATTAAAACGTTGCTGAAAGGCTGGAGAGATGGTTTATCGGTTACACGCGTACATTACTCTTGTAGAGGGCCAGAGTTCAATTCCCAGCACTTGCTGCTGCCTGCAGTTCCCACCACAGGGGGCTGACGCCTGTGACCTCCTGGAGTACCTGAGCTTGTGTGCATCTGCTTTCACACATTATTAAAAATGATAAAAAGTCATCTTTAAAGCATTGCTGAAACAGTCACCTCGGGATTGTCCCATCCCCACTGCAGATGTGAACGCCCTGCAGCTGGAGTGCGACAGTGATGGACTAGAAGCATTATCATTTAGGAACCTGGGGAAGCGCAAAACCTCAGCCTCCTCTCCAGACCCAGGAATGCTAAACTCTAGGGTTGGGCCCAGCAGTCTTTGTGCTTGCCACGTCCAGGTGCTGCTGGTGCTCATTAAAGTTAACCATTGCGTTAACATAAAACCCAGTCATTTGTTAGGGAAAAGAAGAAGGACTGGGGAGACAGCTTTGTGGTAGAAAACGTGTTTGAGGCGCGTTCTCCAGTACTAGAAAGAAAATTGAAAAACTC